CGTACAGTGTGTAAAGGAGAGAAACGAGAACAAAAGCAACCCAAATGGAAAACGGATGGAAAAAATTGGCAACGCAGCTTGCCTCGGGCAACCGTGTTGGTCCTCTGAGATATCCTCGGAATATTTTTTGGAGGTGGTGTAGAGAGCAAAGACGAGGTGAAGGTTCGCAAACAACCAATCAGTACCTGAACTGTGTGAAAAAATGTGTGCATTCTTGTTGCATCCTTGAGACGGCGGTTTTGTTAAGAAAAAACGGTAAGCAAAAACACGGACAACCATTATCTATTGCCTAATCCTAAATCTAATGTAGAGTACAGACGAGAAACAGATTCGCATATTCATACTACCACAAGCAATCGGTGCTATGTGCACAAGTACGCACGCTTTGTTTCTTGTTGCATCTACAGCGTTCGATGTCTCACGTATCAGCTGCAGGTGAACGGATCAGCGACAGATGATGATGTGTGCCGAAAAGTGAATCATCAACGCACACTTGTACCTACGTCACAGCGCACGCTCCCTACTGCTGATGTAATGCCACGCTAAAACAATCTTGGCGGCCCAACGCTGCTGTACAGCACATCACGGGCACGACACGACCGTTCATCCCAGTTCAAACTGAAGAAGGTGTCCGCTCGCATGCCGGTCCACCGAGAGAACAATATGATTGATGAACCCGATGAAAACAAACAAATAATTTTAGGAAAAATAATCTTCTTGTCGAAGGAGCCGACAAACATACTAGACTATGCGCGCGTAAAAAAAAGATGTACCGAAACGCGGCGGAATGAGCAGCCTCTTTGAGAGAAACGAGAGCAGAAGAAACCCGAATGGAAAGATGGAGCCCACATATTGTACTCGGGACTTCAGCACATAATAACTTGCTGTGAGGTATAACATACCCTACTGGATCATGACTCAACAACAAGCCAAAACACGATGTAGTTCAATCCCAACCCATGCGAAGCCGACAAGTGATCTATCGCCACCGACAACGTCGTAGGCCACACAACAACATATTCGCCTGATTGAGAGCGTAGCATCTGATTGAGAGCGAGATTGCGCGATACGCTGTAGCCGGACTACCACTGAGAGGTGGAGCTTGCTGTGTAGCTTGAATTGNATGACCAGGGTAGCGGCTTGAAGCTACGGGCTAGCCCTTCAATTCAAGCTACACAGCAAGCTCCACCTCTCAGTGGTAGTCCGGCTACAGCGTATCGCGCAATCTCGCTCTCAATCAGATACTTCGCTCTCAATCAGGCGAATATGTTGTTACACGTGGGGCAGACCCATGCGACTAGCTACGATCGGGGTTAACTCACGAGTGGTCAGTGGCGAAACACGCGTCTGGCCGACTCCGCCTTACTCCTGGTCCCCCTCACAGCTCCATTGATCACTTTGTTCAATTCTTTCGAGACCTAACCATTCCAACCTCCTTCCCTGCGCCATTCCAACTACCTTCCTTACACATTCAATCCCCTACGTGAGCTGCTCGATACTCGCGGGGGGTCAAAGTCCTTCTATTTAACCGTCTCAGAGAGCCATCTCCTGCTTTTCTTCCTCAAGAGGGTTTTGCGTGCACAAGATCGTTTCTAGATACGATGATGCTAGCTCCGCGACGTCTTCAGGCTCATACAATCACTCGGTCCTGCTTGCAGCTAATATACACACAGAAAGACTACCCGTTCGAGGTATAACTACACTCGAAGGGGATGTGTTGAAGAATATATATATATATTTTTTTCACAGCGGTGGTGGGGGCACGACAAACCGTAATTTACCGGTTCCGCCGCGTTTTTGGTGAAACGGTATATTCGGCATAATAACTCGTCACCGAGGTGTCTGTGAAAGCTAAAAGTGGCAGGGTTCATTCGAAAGCCCTGGTTCATAGCTTTCGAATGGTGTATATTTTGTTGGGTAAATAACCAGGCCCTAGAGAAAAAATTATCAAGTGGCCTGTGGGCGGGTCCAGGAAAACTACCACTTTAGCTGTCGCTACAACGAGTAACGTCGTCAGACGTGTGCGTCCACCACGGGGAGAAGTGCAGTCGGTTGCGAGGGGCACCGCAGTGGAATATGTCCAGCCCTTTTTTTCTGCTGGCGCGTCGCAGCGTCCCTGTCGGTTAGGCGCCCGCTGTTTTGGTGTCGGCGGCTGCCGTCGCTGTCGTTTAGCGGCAGTTCTCTGCCGGTCCGCCCGCAGCCTGTGTGTGTGAGAGAGAGAGTTGTTCCCCTGAAACATCAACCCCGTCCAGCCGAGATGTTTCGTGAAGAAGTCAAACAGCATACACGTTACATTGTATGATGCATTCATCATCATCGCACATCGATTTCTGCTGCTGCGAAGTAGATACAGAGAGATAGGCAAACTAAACTGGTGCGCATCCAACACTGGTGGTGGGCGATATTTTTCGAGATTTAGATTTTCTTGCACCCTATTTTCAGCTTAATAGCCAAACTCGACCACAAACATACGGGCAATCGCCTACGGGGAAGAGCCTAACTGGTGGTGGCATGCCACACGCCACACACGATCACCTACCACCACACACAACACCGCCAGAGACAACAACTGGTGGCGTGGGCTACGCGATTGTCGGACACGGGCGAATCTCCACGCGACAAGTTGTGTTCGTTCAGCATAGATAGACGGGCGCGGGTGAACTTTCATTTTGTCACGATCTGAAAAGGAGTTTGGGTACAGACGACCCTCGCGCCTTCAATATTAGCTCATGCATATTTGCGCCTGTACCCGCCCCAAGACTTGGAACGCCCAGAGACATCCATACCACACCAGTGTCCTCATGATCTGAGATCAAACTGGTCAGCCGTTGTGTCATACATAATGCCGTGGTCACAAACAAGCCTGTGTCGTCAGGCCGTAGATGATTTTCTATTTTCTGGATTTTTTTATGCGGAGACCCACGGGCCGACTGATCACTCACCACAACTACTGTACCGGTTTGCTGTGCTGTGTACATGTCCCAACAAGCCACCACCGTCTGCACGGTCTCTGCTTTGCTCTGCACCTCTGCTGACACTGGGACGATATGGCTTGACTGCTACAAACTATATCTGGGGCAGCTGGTCCAGCAGTGTAGACGTAGATTGCAATCGTCTCAAGAAATCGATTGCTTCATTTTTCTATTCGTTCAATTGCCATCGGCTCACAGCACAGCTACACCCTTGTTGTTGTTGACTTCACATTAAACCGTATGCCAGTTGCTAAATGCCAAAATCTAGCAAAGACTCTCAGCCCGTGGTCACGAAAGTGCTAGAGCCATCTGAGGATCTAAAGAACACGCACACGTAGCAAGAAAAAGGTATCCAAGAGCCCGAAGAGGTACTACTACACCTATATATAATCCCTGCAGCACCGTACNGGGCACAAAGCTGCTGTTCTGAAGTGCTGTCAGAATGTGTCTGCGGACGTACAGTGAAAAAGAACGCCAACCAAAGCCATGATTGCAATGGACACCCGAATCTCTCCCGATCGTCTGCGTTAGGCACGCAGTGAAAATATCGACAATAGCTAAGAATCGTTCCACATTGAAGGGGTCTTCCACGATCAGGCACATAACCAA